GGGTGCACGGGACGCTGGACCTCGTGATCGGAATCGATCCACATTGTGGTATTGTTGCCCCACGCAACTCTCTTGACTTGCGCCGCTGAGGGCTGGGCGAATACCTCGCGAAAATTGGTTTGGGATCGGTGCAGCAGCTCCTCGGCCTCCTCCTGGCGTTCGGCATAGTTGTGGGGCATGATGGTCTCGTCCAGCGCTTGGACTATGGCCTGCTCAACGGCCAGCTTCTGATTGCATTCCGGCACAAAGGCGGACATCGACAGCTTCGACAAGCAGGTCATGTAGATGGCACTAGTCGACTTATATATCTGTACCGGCATAATGCTAGGGATAGACTTTTAAGACTTAGTATTCGATTGGGTCAAGTGGGACTTAGGCTAGGCACCTCTTCAAAAAATTACTGTGTGGCTGCATTTTGGATTTGGACAGAAAAGTAACGAAAAGTTTATAAAAGTAAAAAAATCGATTTATCAAATTCAACTGTTCAAAGCTGAAAATATAAATGCTTTCTCATAGCTGCCTATATGATAGCCTCCCGATGGACTGAGAGGCCTTTAGGGTTCTCCTTTGTCCTGCCCAATTGTGTAGGGTTGGGCTCCACTTCTTGGAGAGCTTTAGACAATGCGTCTTATCTCCGCATACTGTAAGAACCTACACAATCATTTTGAAATTTTATGATTCAAGAAGTCAAAGCGTCGTCCAATAAACTAAATAATTATAAATATTAAACTTACTGAGAGGTACAGGGAATTTTGTAGTCGACCACACTCGACGGCTTTTAAATTGTATGTTCTACGAGAAATTTTTAGCTCTTAGATATTTTTTCGGCATCTCCCAAAAGCATTTTTACTGCAGCTGAGTTTTTAGGTGCTCTAACAAACTTTATTCTTTTATATTTAGCTGCCCTTGCCTACCTCTAAAAATCAAGAAAATCATGTAAATAGCTCAACATTTATGCAAAATAATTTAAATTAAAGCTGCATAAATCATATATGTAAACCTTAATAAAACGTCCACAGATCTGTTTAGAAGGTTGTTTGCCTTGTTGCCTCCCCTTAAGGATGTCTTAGCTAGATTTTCCAACATTTGATAAGGTTATCCAATCCCTAGCTGGGTGTACTAGAGGCTCAAAGCATTCTGTAGTCGCTACCCTCACAGCACTGTGGATAGGTTGTGTCAATATGTTATTTGTAAAAATATTCGTGTGCTGCAAAGAGCGTCAGCTGTGCCGTGTGGCATGTGGCATGTGGCAGGTCGTGGCTGTCTTTTAGAGGTTGTGGCCACGACATCTGTTTCATATTACAAGGTAGAGCAGCCAAAGGTACAAACAAAGTGCTTGCCATGTTGTTGTTGTCGTTGTTGTTTCTGGTTGTTGTTGTTGTTGTTGCTGCTGCTGGCCCATTTGTCTCACTTCCTTTACCTTTCAGGCCGGCGTTGTGTGCGCACAAACAACATCCCGGATGCTCAACTAAAGAGAGAATTAAAAACAGAAAACAGACAAATTTATAAAACTGCACTAAATGCAAAGTTCCAAAGTTACAACAGCAGCAGCAGCAGCAGCAGCAGCAGCAGCGGCGACAATGAGCCGCATACAGGAAGAGACAGCGCACATGCTTTTTGTATCTGTATCTGTAAATGTATCTGTATCTGTATCTGCATCTGTGTGCGGGTATCTGTATCTGTGGCTGTTCATTCATAGAAAAACCAAAACGAGCGGATGCACGGGCGGATGAAGCGCTTGAATCAGCATCGCCCTCTCCCTATCTCTCTTGCTCTCTCCCTCCCTCTCTCCCTCCCTCTCCCTCTCTCTGCATCTCTCACTGTGTACCTATAGAGCCCTATCTCTACGTGCGGTTTCTATTTGGCTACCGCTGCTGATTATCATGCCTCGTTATTGTTATTGTCATAATTGTTAAACTATTATTTGCAAAAAAAAAAAAAGAAAATACAAAACTATAAAAAAGGGGAAAAAGTGTTCAATTATGAGAACGAGCCCCGACTTCGGTTTACCCAACTCTTTAAATAATTGCCAAATATTATTGGCTCCACAATTAACAACAAAAAAAAGTATATATTGAAGACATCTCGGCATTTTGCTTGGCTGTTCTATATCCATAGACATAAATCACGCGGCGCTCTAAAAATAAACATCATGGGTGATCTACCGCCTGGCATCAACTCGAACAAATGTTAACATTAACTTCTTGGCCAACAATAACAAAAAGTTTATTGCACTTCCATTGAGTTCGGTTGCTTTTCTTTGTTTTTTGCTGGGGTAACTTCAGAGAGCATTTCTCGTTTAACCTTAATGATGTGCTAATTGGGCAACGTATTCCAACATGTCAATGCGCCTCTTCCTCTTCAGCTTCTATATAGTTCCATTCGAAATTGTGAAAGACATAAACAGCACATAAAACACAAACTAAGTAGACACAAGTTGTGCGCATTCATTCCGAATTGTTTAGAAAGTGGCCAAAGAGATGCTCGAGAGATTTACTCTAGCCACGAGAATTTATTAAGACGGTTATCCATCAGAGAGACAAGTCTTTAATCTTCTCCAAATATTCTTTGAGTGGAAAATTTAGCGTGAAGTGCGCAGCTCAATCTTCGGTAAATACCTGTAAATATCAGTTAGGTCCGGAAATGGAAGCTTTTCTTTAGATATTATTTTTTCATTTTTTTTCCATTCTCACCCAGTTATCGTACATTCTTTTATGCTTTGATAACACATATCTTGAGTGCCTGTCTACGGCTTTATAGCCCGGTAATGTCTGTGGAATATCTAGACATGTTGACAGTTACCACTTGTTAATTGCATTATTAAATTATCATGATATACCTGTTTTTAATGGTAAGCAAATAAACCTACTATAAATTTGTTATGCTTATGCAGATTATTATTTACACACATGCTCGGAAGACTTCAAGCTGTATATATCATATATAATATCACATTTATAAACACGACTAAATGTAGTTATTTTATCGCTTTTTTTTCGCGTGCAAAAGAAGATCATGAATTAATATCAACTAAATTTCTCGAATATTTCCATTAAGAGACGTTTCCCAATCTTAACTCAGACTCTTCTACAAATTTTTCGTTATCAAGACTTTATTATATCCATATTGTTTTTAAATTATCTAATAAAGATATTTTCATTAGATTACCAAAATAGTTTAGACTATTTTCAAGATCTTGGACAATATCCATTAAATTCTTGTCTAGCAAAAGTTCTATCAGTAAGAATTAATCCCTTAAGAGCTTGGCATCTTTCGTTATAGCCCTTCCCCTTTCACTTACTTAAGGGACCAGCTGGGGCTCGGAGAAATACTCTTTCACATTATTTTACATATTTCAAGATCTTTTCAGCACTTCCGTAAATACATTCATATCAAGAACTTCCGTCTCGCTTCACGAAAAAAACTCAGAGTTAAGTTTCATTTCATAAAATTTCATTTTATATTTTCATTAGATGCAACTTATACGACTAATAGGACAGCATTTGAAGTGTGCCCCGCAGTGGGCCGCACTTGAGGAGGCGCAGGCGGGGCATGCTTCGACCACTTAAGCGAATAAACAAATGCATTTAGGTCTAAGACTTACGACTAGGAGCACTAGCGACTAGTTAGGTCTAAGTGAGCTATATAGAGCATAGGTGCTATATGTATATACTATGTATATGTACAACCTGGTTAGGGTATTACGCACGGGTGTACAACCTCGGCGAGTACACCCTAGGAGAGCAGCGCCATGGCGCGGGCGAGGCGCACACGGAAATCACGATAGAGCATCTTGCCGCCGACGGGCACACGACACAGATACATGTCCAGGCTCATCAGGCAGAGGGCTTTGCCGTTCATGGGGAACTTCTGTGGCAGCTCGGGCGTCACCTCAAGCCCTTCGGAGACGGCCATGCTGATCAGCCATTTCCAGACATCGGCGCGTGTCCAGTCTCGCGGATCAAGCGGCAGCCCATCGGAGCCTATGGGATGGTGCAGGCTGGTGTTGTTGTTCATATTGTTGTGCTGACTGTTGCCCGTGCCAATGCTGCTGTTGTTGTTGTTGTTGATGTCTTCGCCGAGCACTGTGACGCCGCCGCGACACTTGTCCAGCATTTGGTATGGATGATGACGCTTCATGGCAGCAGCCGCATTGCTCGCCCACAGCTGCTGCAGCTGCTCCTGACCGGCATTGACCTGCGACAAGTCCAGAGGCGGCACGCGTCCGGCGTATTTCGGGTAACTGGCCTCCACTTGCATTGTGCAGTTGCCTCAAACAATCAGCTGTAATGACAGATAGAAATGACGCCGATTAATGGAAGTGACTCATTAGCTCAGAGTGGGGGGATATTTGTACATATGAGTGTGTGTGCGTGTGTGTTTGCATGGGCAGAATTCAAGTGGCGGAAATGCTTTCACAAGCGGACAATTGTTTAATCGCGTCAACGGCAACAATAATACGCATACGCCGCATTGTACGTGCAATAATCAAATAAAGAGCCTTTTAGTTTAGTCACCAAGTTTGCAGTGCCCAAAGAGAACGATGGCAAGAAATGAAATGAAATGACGCGTTAGTCGAACAATTAAATTTAGCTAAGAATCATCTTATTTAATTATATATATTATCAATCTATGAAAATGTCTCAAATTGCTACCTTTGCAATTTTTAGACTTTCTTTAACATAACGCAGCTATAATATAACAAACGTCAACTGTTATATAGCTGGTATGTAGGTCGTTCACTTAACAGCGCTGTTAAGTAAGAGTATTCGAATTTCGCCGTGTCGCCGTGGTCTGCCCGTTTCGTTGTCATGCTTTGAATGATATTTTGTTATTGTAGCGCAATATTAAATCTGACCTTGTTGCCATCGAAAAAAATGGGACGCACTGTTGCGGAGCGCGGCGGGGCGGGTCACACGCGAAAGGAAGCGCTGAATAATCATTACGCTGCTGTCATATCGATAACAACAACAACAGCAGCAGCAACCACAACAACGACAACGGGGCGACACTAACTGTAGCCGTAGCAGCGGCGGCAGCAGCAGCAACAATCGAGTGTTAGCCATGGCCACATTTAAATAAATGGCCCACATTTGTATTGCTGACTATTAGCTGATGGCTCAGTGGTTTGCTCAATTGTTGGCTGACATAGAAAGGCAAGTGCCAAACCGGAATGGCATCGATTACGATAACAATCAGAAGCAATGCGGCAAGCGGAAACAATTAGCAAACGGGCGTCGGTGACGACGACGACGACGGCGAATTGGCAGCTTGCGAATGTGGCGAGCAAAACAAAAGCGAAAAACCAAAAGACAGCCAGCTCACACACAGCTTGGGCAATCAGAATGGCAATGCGAACGGGCATGGAAATGAAAATGGCAGTGACAAGCAAAACATCCGCCGGCGCATAGCCAAAGCCAAAGTTAAAAGGTGTGTGTGTGTGTGTAAGGGTAAGGCAACGGAAGCCGCGGGCGGGACGGCAACCATCATCTGTGATTTCATTTCACACAGTGTACGAAAAAGTGGGGAAGCCAATTGTGGAAGAACCCTTGAGTTTAGCCCATTTGTCATTTGCGTGCGTTAATAGTTTTCCGGAACTCGTTTCAAGTGCTTCCGTCCAAGGAAGTGCGTAAAACCCAGCCAAGAATCCGCCAAGGAATCGAATTCGTATGAAGCCGCAATTTTAATTATACCTGTGTGCATGTGTGTGTGTGTGAATGTGTGAGTGTGCCCAGTTCATTGCCAGCAGCGCGTTATTTCCCACGAACAGTGAATTCGACGGGCGTAAACAAATGAAATGAATCAACAAATATGAAAAAACAAAACAGAAAACTCTTTTCGCTGTTCTCTTTGTTTGCTCGCCAGGAAGCCACACACAATGCCCCGCTTGGAAGCTGCCCCAAGAGCCACTTGTTGAGGTATGTGCATATGTATATTTGTGTGCTGTCTGGGGGAAATGCTGAGTAAACAAAGTTATTAACATATAAATTGGGCATTGGAGAATGCCCCTCTGTAGCATTAGCATAAGCCATGGTCAGAACAAGTTGCCTGAGATTTGAGCCATGCAAACAAAAATTAAGCCCAACCTACGCCTTGATAAAAGCTATCAGTATGTTCGGCTATTCCATTGGTGACTCAACTGCAGCGGATGCCATAAACATGCCCAAGTTTGTCCAAGACGAGGCCTAATACTACACGCTATGTTCGGCATGTCATTAGCTCAAAGGTTCGATAAGCATTTCGATAAACGATAAACATTAGCATTTCAAATGTGACCGGCCGAACCTCAGGTGGTCCGCACAGCGGGCGCGCTAAATTAGAGAATTATAACAGTTTGAATTTGATAGAAGACCACCCCGTGGGGCGACTTCCGCAGGCAAATTCACGAAGTTCCGCCCACAGCGAAATGAAGGCGTGTGAAATGTTTAAAGATTTTTTGGCCATTAATGCTGTCAGCAATTGAAGCAGTTTCTGTAGGCGGAGCATTAGGCGCTGTAGTTTAAGGATCAAGTCCAGACATCAATTGCCCAAAAGGTAGAAATTGTGTGTGGCACAGGTCTGTTGCGCTTCCGTCGCGACAAGGGCATGATCAATAGCTGAAATCATTAACCCACGCAAGCTCCAGCGATCGTTCTGTCTGTCTGTCTGTCTATCTGACTGATTGTTTTTGGTTGTTTTTTATTGTTGTATTTTGTCAACATTGGCATTGGCATTCGTTTGGTTCGGCTACACACAAACCGCGTGCTGAGCACGCGCCCAATACAGCAAATTGTTGTCGTGGTTGCCCTTAGCCCAGGGTCTTGTGCTCTGGGGTCTGTGCCTGGGTAGGAAATGGTTTTCTGTTACTAGTTGTTGCTGTCCGGGTGTGAGTGTGTCGGAGTCAATGACAGGAAGTCTGTGCAATGTGCGCATATCCGCCTCCGCCCGCGCACAGGATGCACAAAAGGAAACTCTGACACACACACACACACACAGAGAGAGAGAGAGACACAGCAAATGTGAGATACGACAACGAAAACAAATACAAATGCATTTGCGCCAGTTTTAATTACGTTGACGTCTGCACTTTGCACTGTCGCATGTTGTTCTTCTTGTTGCTGCTACTTAGTGGCAGCTACTATATAAACACTGACACATACTCACACACACACACACACACACACACACACACTCAGGCGTCTCTTCTTTGAGTGTGCAGCAACAACGAAAAAGACGAAACGTAAAATCGTAATTTGAAGTTCGTAAAAATGACGCGTTTCCTGTCATTTGGCGAGCACTTTAAGTGCGTAATTTGCTCCCCACACACACACACACACTTGCACACTCACACACACATACATATACACTTAGGTCTTTGTATTTGTGTCTGTTGACGCCTCCCATCTTTATCTGCAGGTCGCTTCCGTTTTTGAAGAACTCATCTACCGCGAACTTTGCCGGGCATCACAAACTTTTGCTCAATTTCGCATACAGATTTTCTATACCCTGTACAAAAATTTGCACGTGCTATGCATGACAGGAAAGCGAACTATGCCACAGTAAAACTATAACAGATGTAGCTATAAAAATATCTGTGAACATTTAAGATACCTCAAAAAGTTTTCAGTTTTCTAGTATTTCGTAAATTTCGAAATTTTACCTAACCTAATTACCAAATCTCAAAGTCTTAACTAATACGATTTAATTGGCTTTCAAATACTTCTTGCTTTTATTTACAGGGTATTTCCGTAGTCGCAATCGAAGCAGATGTCTTCTCTGGTTGATTTTGTTTGGTTTACATATCAAATGTCTGACAAATAGAAAACACAGCGACTATGTAAATTTGCGGGCTGCCATTAATTTGATTACAATTTGAAACTGTTCTTGCTCTGCGCGCACGAATGTATCTCTCAGATACGTGTATCTCATAGATACAATTGCGCACGTCCAAATTATGCGCTTCCTCCTAACTCAATTCGCTTTCTTGTCTAGAATTAAGTTGAATTTCCAGCTGAGGAGTTTTTCTTTGTGCTATTTGAGGTCTAATCATGTGGAAAAGCGCCGTGAGAGGGGCAAGAACATATTTGTATCTTGTGGTCTATTAAATTATACAATTAATTTATTTAAGATTATAAACAGTTTCTTCTGGCTTGTTTGCTTGGCTGCAATTCAAGGCAAATAAACTTGCACATTCAATAACAAATATTTTACAGAGTGCATACAACAACAACAACAAAAACAACAACAACTATAGACAGCGGCAGACGACAGATGATAATCCGCTGAATTTTGTTAAAAATAAACATTTTTGCCAGCCAAGCAACAACAAACCGGATTCCCACATGTGTGTACTTGTTGTGACGTATGTGTGTGTGTACATGTATATATATATATATACATATATGTTTGCTGATATTACAAATCATGTAACGCTGTCGCAGCGGCGTCTGCCTGACGTCTGCAAAAGCTGGCGCTGCAGCATGGTCGCTTAGGGCGGGGGCCGGCTAGAGGTAACTAGGGGTTGGGCCAGATGCATTGGGGGATTGGGCACTGCACTGGATGCGGGAACTGCGCTCATCGCATAGCCATTCATCATTTTCATGAGGGCGCAGTTGATGGACGGATGTGTGACGACTTTTCCTCGTTACAAAAATAAAAAAGCAAACGGCGCCAAATGCATTTCGCTTGGGGCTAGTCGTCGGGTCGTCTGTGGGCCGGTAAATATTTAGTTGGAAATTAAATAAAAGCAGAGCCCGTCAAATGCTTTGATGATGACGAAGCTGCTGATGTGGCCCTCGTCTGCTCCATCGCTGTCTGCACATTGACAGCATCAGGCGCTGTCTTTTCACGCCCCACACGTGTCGCGGGCAATGAAGCGGGACGGCCGACAGGCAGGAGGATGCGCTCCGGCACGACACGCGCCATAAACAGACGCAACCTAACAAGCTGCCGCCGAGACTACAACTCAGGTGGGTTAGCCTTCAAAATAAACGCAATAGAAAACTATAGACCGAAGCTTCAATACACTTTCTTTCTTACGAGAGCATTAGTTCCAAACGATTGTTCCTATTGGAGATGTGTAATATGAGCTGTTTTACCCACCGATTGTTCCTATAGAAGTCTTATGATATACGGAGAGAGAGACGGATTATTAGATATCGAAGGGGAAACCTGAAGCTTGTAATTGCTGAGCTTAGTCAATATATCTTGAGAATAGAAACATTTTCCATTCCAAAAAATTGACTTTTCAACGGATTCTTCCTATATATAATATATTATATTATATATATTGATATTTTATATGTTTAAGAAGAAAATAGTGCTCGTAAAAACAAGAATAGATACATATATGAAAATACATTAAAAGCTTAAGACTAGTTTCCATATGAAGACAGAGAGGCATGACTATATAGATCCGGCTTTTGATACTGATCAAGAATTGGTATATTTGATGGGATTTTTTCTATGCAGTACATATTTAGCGACTATTAGATAATGCCCTCTGCGAGGGTCTAAAAAGAGAGACGCAGCCGGAAACGCGAGCAATAGCTTATCACGAGGCAACGAAAATTGATAGGGGCTTTACCTGGTACTATCTAAGAAATTGCATATAAAGAGTCTAGTATGCTATGTCATGGGTTTGTTATTTCCTCTAGTGGGTCAGCGGCGGGCTGAATCAGCGAGCGGAGAGAGATAGAGTGAGCGGCAGAGAGAGAGAGAAAGAGTGGGAGAGAGGGAGAGCGCGCACGAGACTGCAACAGAATTTAATTAAGTGATGTTGTTTCTTTTTTTGTGGCTGTTGTTGTTGTTGCTCTTGTTGTGTGGCCAGGTGCGTTTTGATATGTGTGGCAGCAGCTGCAAAGATTACAAAGACCCGACTGCCACAATAATAGTTCCAGCTGAGAAAGTTCTCATGCGCTGCCGACTTGGCCACATCCTTTGCGCATGCGCGCGCATTCACAATATTCATGCGGGCCACAACAGGGTAACAAAGCGCCCAAAATGCATTTAATATCGTGCCCTCTCATTCTGAATCTCCCTCCCTCTCGCTCTCTCGCTCTCTTTCGCTTGACTGTCTCAAGTTGATTCTTCTGTTTCGGTTTTTTTTTTTGCAGCTGCCGTCTCGGCATTTCGAGTGTGTGTCGCTTTGTTTTGTGGTTTCTCTCTGCGGTTATCTGAGCCGCAACTTGGCCCGGTCTGTTGCCAGTTATTCTCTTGACAATATCTGTTAGGTTTTCATAACCATAAATTCGGTCATGGCAACTGCACATTGAGTCTAAGTCTCTGAAAGGGCTAACAGCGAACCTGGCTTATAACTGGACTTGAAGTGTGCACCAAGAATTGGCAACAATGCGCAAAGAGATTGTGGCGATATCTTTATTATATTTAAACTAAAGCAAGTCCGCTTATGTGCCTCGCCTTTTGTACTACATCCACGAAGCTGTTTATCTGTGGTTCTTTAAACAAAGTGCTTGAATTTCAGCTAGAATAACAGAAGAACCTCGTGAGAGACACTTTTTATGAGAAACTATAAATGCGGCTCGTATCGCAGCACTATTTGATATATGAATATATATATAGATATAATTAGGAGTCTGTATTAATGTGTTATATCTGAGTTTCCTTGAACTTAAATAATAAATGATCAATACTAAAACTAAAAAGATGTCAAATGTTAAGATTTCTGCTCATTCGCAAAGTAAAGAATACATATGTTTTATGCTCTTCGTCTTGTCTGTTCGTATTTACGCAACTTTTCTGGTAACTGGGAGCTATATATATCGAGAAAATATATATCTTCTCCAGTCGTAAAGTTAGACTAATCAAATTTAAAGCATATAGAGTCCTAATCAGTTCCCCTAATGATCATTTTTTTGTTAAATAGATATCTTCAAATAATTTTGGCTGTTAACCGTTTTCAGATTGTTCTTGAACTGAGGAAGAGTAATAGAAAGTCGAATATAGTATTCCAGCTTGTTTTTATTTGGATCAATTAGCTCTAATATCTTATATACCCGCCCAATTTCGACCAGTACAGGGCATAAACGGCCTTTGCATCAACTTGTGCTCTTGAAAACGCTTTTGTAGCACACGATCCTAACTCAAGGTAACGTTGATTGTCAAGTCTTGAGCTGACCTATTGCTTTGGCATATCATATTCATAAATATCGTATGGCTTTGGCAGCGCTCGCACTTTCAATTTTATACAAATAGTATCTGCTTTTTTTTGTATTGTTTTCTGTATCTGTTAAATGTTGCGCTTATGTTAATTTAAATGGTTTTTCAGCTGGCTTAAAGGCATGCATGTGTGTTTATATACAGTCATTACGAAGCACCTTTTAGAGGTCAATTAGCAAGTCACAAAAAGCAATAACAGCGAAAGAGAGACGGAGAGAGAAAAAACGAAACATAGTACAAGGCAAAAGGCATCAAATAAATTGTCCGATTGAGCGCATTCTTCAACATGTCAAACAAGCCGTTTAAAGTTTAAACAACCTTTAACAACAACAATACTTAAACAGCAAATTGTTTTTGTTTTTAATGATAGCCAAACTTGGCAGCTAGACTTGGTTTTCGTTTAGGGTCTCCTAAAAGTTCATATTGCCTTATAGCTGCTGCTTACCTCGAGTCGAAAGTTAATCCAAAAGTTGGCGCCTTGTTGAGTTGTTGTTCAAATTGACGACAATATCCGTTTTAATATATATCTCTTCTCTCTCTCTCTCTCTATATATATATATGCGAATATATATACGTGCTTGGTATGTGGCTTGTTTGTAATTTGTTTATGAATTTCTTTTATTTGCGTTTTGTTTATGGAACTTCCTGCGCGGAATTGCCAATGCAATTTCAGTTGTCGTTCGAATTTTTAATATATATGTGCATGTATAAATTTGTTTTATTTTTGTTGTTGTTTTTCGCGAAAATAGAAATTGCACTTGTTGGCGTTTCGCTTTCGCTTAAGCTGTTTTGTTGTTGTTGTTTTTTTGTCTCTGCGCTCTCTCCCAATACGATTTTCACTAGTGCACGGCTTCTGGCAGCTGGAGGCACACTTAGATATTTGTGCGAATTGCGAATTTCACAATTTGCAAAAATGTATCTCACAGTTACAAGCGGCAGGCGGCAACAATAATACGGCTGTCGCTTGGGTATTTCGCGCTCTGAACTACTTTTCTATGTGCGCTTGGCTCGGGTTTCGAAAGTTTGCCTTTTTTTGTTTTTTAATGTTATTTGTTGTTGCTTTATTTTCAAATTGTTGCAACGTTTTCAGCTTCAAGTTTCTTTAGTTTTTGCTTTTGTTTCTTCTTTTTTTTTTTGTTCACTTTACACAAAATTCCTGTTTGCAGCTGCAATTCGCTTTTGTTGCTGTTGTTGTTATTGCGTACGAGTATCTGCGTATTTCAGCAAGCGCAACACAAGTCGTGTATCTTGTATCTGTAGCTGTGTGTATCTGCGTTCTGTGCACGCGCACTTCACGTTCTCAACTGATTGCGATCGTGCCCATGCAGCGGGTTTTGTTGCCTCAGCCAATCTCACGCTCTCTCTCTCTCTCTCTCAGTCAAGCGCACTCCTACTCTCTCTCTCTCTCTCCCACTATCAGATAACCGCTCTCACACGCTCTATCGGCTGTCTGTGAGCGGCGCTCTCTGTTACACTGACAAAAATTGGGTTTACCTTTAAAGAAATTAGACTCTAAAATCTTAAAAATTTAGAGTAGAACAGATAAAAGTGGTACGCGTCTCTTATCTATTTTATTTATAAATTATTTATAATTTTTTTCAAAATCATATCTTTAATTTATAAATTATTTATAAATATAATCCTTCTCTTCTTCATGTTATGTATTTTCCAACACACAATCTTTATGATAATATATGTTCTATATAGTATATATATTTTTTTTTGTTATTTCATAAGGTTATTTCTCGATTTGCTGTGTTATTTGGTTTTTTTTCTTCAGTATTACTCTTTACAGTTTTTTTCGATAATACGCTTACCTGACAGCAGTGGACACATTTTTAGATGTTCTTTGTTTGAAAAGGGCCAAAAACTAATCGGGTTTTCATTCATGGAATGTAGAGCCCGCATTGTCGAGCACCAAATCGATTAACTCATGGATTTAAGGGGTAGGTCGAACGTTTTCGCTAAAGAAAGTATTCAGAACTGTCGCAAGTGAGCATATCTCAATTGAGATACAAATCTTAGGAGCAAATGTAGGGGCAACTAATTTTTATGATAAAGAGAGTTCCTCCTGTTATTTTAGAATTTGCAAATAAATACAAATTAAGATTAAGACTGAAATTGATGAACAGAAATCAGAAAAAATAATAATTACAATGATAATAATAATAATACAATATGATATTAATACTAATACTAATAATAGTATAATACTGATACTAATAATAATAACAATGATAATAATAAGAATAACAATGATAATAGCTACAGTCAATCGTTCACATAATATTATAATTATTCTCAGTATTGGGCATGCTTACTATTTTCATTACCATTATTATTAATACTATTGTAACTATTATTATTAATATCATTATCATTATTATTATTATTATTATTATTATTATTATTATTATTTTTAATATTATTATTATTATTATATTTATTATCGTTAGATTTTATGTATTAATAAATATAATTTAGTAGTCAGTAATAAAAACAAATTCAATCGTTATAATAACAATAATTATAATGAAAATAATAACCAATACTGAGTATAATATGATCTGATAAAGCATATTATTAAATAGTTTCCATTTACCAATCGCTCAATTTAAATTACATATTCAACACCATTTTCCATTTCATTGCCTCCACCCTCTCTCTAGCACTTCTCATTTCTAATATAATTTGATATATTCAAAATTGGAACCTTTTTTGACTGGGTTGGCACCTATGTTAGGCACCATTCCAATTATATATGACTCTTTCCCTGGCTTTTCCTTTTCCTCACACGTTGACAGACGTCAATTAATCAAGTCGCACTTAATTTTCATTGAAATATCTTTTGTACATATTAATAAAAAATTCCGTGGGGCAATGCCAACAATTTCGGTGGCCATCACGTGCCACCGGGGGGCACATGCGAGCCACAACCGAGTGTGTGCGTGTGTGTGCGTGTGTGTGTGTGTGTGTGTGTGTGTGTTGACTAATTACGCTGCCTAGACGACGAAATGTAATTACAGGAAATCCTTTTGCCTACACAGCTAGAAATTGAGAATGCGCGCTTTGCGGTGGCGACTTCCTTTTCAAATTGACAGCCAAAAAGAAAAACAGGATCATTTATTTGACTGACCGGGGGAAGGGGGAAGGGGAGATCCTGCAGCATGTGTTGGGTCTGTGCGTGAGCATATGGCTGCCAGCTAAGTGCCAGAATCCTTTCATCAATTTATAGACAAGCGTGAAGTGGAATACTCGAATTACGCAGCCTTTTGGCTTGCAGTTCAGTTCATTGGAATACCCAAAGCAGAGAGAGAGAGAGCGACAGAGACGCGCCCCCGAGCCTTGCCCCTTGGCGTTGCACAAGGCACGAGGCGTTTGCTGCAAGCAACCACAGGACGCGCGTCCTGTGCGTGAGTTCAAATTGCAGCAGCAGCTGCTGTTGCAGCAGGCAGTTCCACTGAAATTATCTAAACAGGGCCTGCGCAATTATTGCTATTGGGTTTTCACTTAAGATTGCACCTTTGTCTCTGTAAATGTATCTGCATCTGTTGAATGTATCTGTATCTGTAGCTGCATCTCTAGCTGTAACTGCTGTCTGGCTGCGCTGCTAACTGTCTCGTCCTGTCGCCGCCTGCTTTGATGCCTGCTCGCATTTCGCTGGACGAGAAAGTAGAAGACATATATAAAGATGTATGGAAAGGGAGAGCGAGTTCTACTTATTGTGCCTCTGCATCTAATGGCTTGTTTATCGCTCGCATCGATCGCAGACCAAATAAATTAAGTGCTTTAATTGGCCGCCTAATTGATAGCGGCGTCTCTTGGCCTAATGTGGCAGCGATGCTACCATGACCCGGTCCTACTCTAACATATATGAGCCGATTTGTTGTTTGAGCTGCACACATCCTGCCGGCCAAGCAGCTACAGTTAATCCTCCTAGGCTGGGCATCCTGTCCAGCTGCCGTGCCTCCAATTGCATTCGCCATTGTCTTCGGCCCACACAATGCATGTAAATGCCTCTCGCTCCGGCTCACACATGATAAGCATCGACAGGAAGCCAGACCGGGTGGATTGGCCCAACAAAGGATGTTTGCTTAGGCTCAGCAACTAATATCGCAGCTACGTACGTGACTTTGTATGGCTTGTGCGTTAATATTCAGCATATATTTCTCTTACCATATTTCCTATATTATTTCTCACTATTAGCTTAGCCTGTTTATTTTCAATTACAGGTAACTCTGTGTTGGCGCATAATTCGAATAAATGCGCAAAGCAAAAGGAAGTAAACGCTTCACACGAACCCACAGGCTCCAGTCGCGGTTGCCCAACTCGAAGATATCCCTTACTCAACTGCGAGCTCTATATATATAATACAAAATATACAATGTGTAATATTCAATCTAAGATAACTTCTGTGTTTCTTGATAAATTGATATGAATACAATCAATAGAATTAATTGACCCTGTCTATGGTTATTACAGGGTATTACAGTCTATCTGGGGTAATTATATAACTTCTAATGGACCGTGACAGGGGCGTGTGCCGCACAAATATTTCGATATCGATATTTATCGATTGAAAATAAAGGAAGAAATCTTACGATAAGAAAGAATCAACTTTCCCAATGGAATCTTACTAACTTAAGACAAAAACAACAAATACATCCTGGTGTAATTGCCTCTTAAAGATCGATATTCAAAATGGTTTAAGAAATGCTTTCTTTTGCTGGTCGCATAATTCTACACAACATCAATAGACCCTCTTTTTAACGCAGTCTATGGTAGGGTATTACAAATAAATTATATAATTCCTTATGGGTGCTGGTAGGGGCGTGTGCCGCCCACATATCAATCAATATTTATCGATTGTTCGTAAACGAAGAAAGCTTAGAAAGCGAAAGAATCTATCTACCCGATTTGGTGTCTCCGCCTCTTAAAGATTGCCGGGATTAAGAATCTAAGAATATGCTGGTCACATACACCTCTCCAACTTCAGTATACCCTATTTTTAACCCTGACTAGAGGTAGAGAGTATTTCGAAAATTATATAATTTCTAATGGGAGTTTTTCAAGCTGAAATTTTACAGCTGGCGGTGGCAGGGGCGTGTGCAGCCCATATATCAAGTTCCAAATATAGGGCCCGAGCATTTTTAGGGAAAACCCATCGAGGCAGCGCACTCGCCGTTAATCAAATGTTATCATAAGTACCAAATGTGCCTGGTGGTGTCTTTCTATATATAGCTATACATATATATATATATATATATATGTAGCTGGGTTGACTGCAGCAGCCACCCTCGCCTAAACGATTAATGGCTAAGAATTTCATATATGCCCAGGCCGGGCATTAAAACTGCACCAAAATATATACACGGAAAAGTGAATTTTATGATCTTCAGTGTTTGGCTAGAGGGGGAAAAACCCAGCCTCAGCATAGTAGCTAATCCTAGGCAGGCTCGTGGACTCAGTTTTATTGGCACTTTCCCGAACTATAAATCAATAAACAGATGTGTCGTAAAGTTTTCAGCTAGAAATACCAACTCGTAAGGCGGAATGAGGGGTGTGAGGGGGTGTGAGGGGGGGTGAGGGAGTGCATGTTGGTTGGGGATTCCTGTAATTTCACTATCTTCGGGACTAGCTTGGAAAACTTGCGGTTATTTCTTGGCTCGTCATAAATAGGCGTGGAATCGTTTGTCATCTTGTGCTGGCAGCTAACTCCACACATAAAAAAGAAAACGATCATTAACACCAATTTTTGTGGACCTGCCCCCAGCTCGGAGCGCAGAACGTCAAATGTTTAAATCAATTGCTCCACAAAACGAGACGAGGTAACCGTAAAAGCAAAAAATATAAAATAAAGCTGAAAACGCGCGCTCGTAAAACCAAAACAACAGATTCCGCAGCCATTCAAATGCCACACAAAACGAAAACGGAGAAGCCCCCTAGTACTACGAGAAGATCAGATAGAAGAAGACACAGAGAGAGAGAGAGAGAGAGAGAGGGGGAGATTGTAGAAGACAGAGATGGCGAGTGCTCGTGGGCACAATGGGAAACAAGCCGCACAGACTTCCGCTTTCATTTCATAAATTCGGATTAAGGCATTTTCAAATGATAACAATGAAAAATAAAAACCTTAAGAACTGTAGAAATGCGCCGTGAATCTGATTAACGGCAACTACAACGACTCGGAAATGTGTCACGTAAATGGTTTGTTTCCCAAGTAAACCCACAACATGCCCAAGAACAATCATCAACAACAACAACATTAACAACAACAACAAAGGCAAAGCTCACAAATTGCTGTAAAAAGAGAAGATCTCGGCGTAGAGCTGAGCATCCATTGTTTGGCAATTGTCGCCCATGTAAATATAAATGGGTATACATGGCATCAACTGAGCTGTTAAAGCTTATCGTATTACGAAATTCTGCCAGCTGAAGTTTTGCGGAAGAGCCTGTCAGGTGAAAACAGATAACTGAGGTGTGATCTTCAATGCAAGCAGGTGAGGTGCGAACTTTGAACCAAACAGGTCAGGCTACTTCAACTACGATTAAGTTATATTAAGTGATATATTTATTTTTATAAATTGTCTAAATTCGTGTTATATGTGATCTTATGTAGTTAAATATATCTTCAAGCCGAGTCCTTTTGATCGTAATATAGTTAAATATATCTTTCTGAGATCCTTTAATATCGTTTTTACCTTTGCTATACGCGAACATAAGTAGTTCGAACCTTAATAGAGTCTGTTTTGAGGATGCTCGATCCAATTCGATCGGTCACTGTGTAGATCTTATGTAGTTAAATAGATCCTTCAAACTGAGATCCTTTGATATTCTTTTTGTCGATTGTCTATATTCGTGATATACGTGATCTTCAGCAGTTCCATATTCCTGATAACTCAGATCCATCTTCTAACTGGTGTATAGCCACTAGCCGGAGATATTGTCTTAATTGCCCCCATATTAATTGTCCCCATATAACATGTTATATGTGATCTAATACAGTTAAATACGTAGCATAGCTTGCTGGACATTCTGAAAAGTCTCCCTCAATCGGGTCAGTAATTTCCTATTCCTATCCTTTAATTTTAGCTAATCCTTTTTATTGAATATATTTTAAAGCAATTATTATTAAATACCCTTTAACTATTAGATATTCTCTTACATTTCGACTTTGTCTTGATATCATATTTATATATATTGATATATATATATAAAATAAGTAAATATCGTCCAACAGAGATCCCTGGATCCACCAGCTTAAGGCTCGAGCACTGAGCCTCTTTATTCAGATGACTGCATCTACGATCTTACATATTGCTTCTATTGCTTACCTATATTCGTGAAATATGCGATCGCCCTCAGTTTAATGTATATGGTATTCCAATAGACAAACTCGTTTTATATTTTTCCACCTGAAAAAGAACCCAGTTAAATAAATCGATTTACATTCATTTTTTATGCTCACGAGCACGTTTCGCAAACATTTGCTCAAATTCGAGGCAAACATTGAACAATTGCACTTCCTGCACAAACGCATCCTGTATTACTTACAGAACATGGGCCCAGGCCCAGGACAGGGCAGGACAGGACAGGACGGGTCCAAGGGGCATTCATATCATCTGTTGCTGCGTGGCCCGACAAATTTTACGAATGATGAGCGGAAACGCTGCGGAGGCGCGTACTTTGTACACAAACAGAGAAGCCAAAGAGTGTGTTCGTGTGAGAGAGAGAGAGAGAGAGAGAGAGCTGATTGTAAAAACAAATGTTGGCAAACAACAAAAACAAGGAAAAGGATGTCCTGCTGCCGACGAGTGTGGAAAAGTGCGTTGTGTAGCTGCAATTAACATTTTCCGCTAGCTGCTAGCTGCTGGCCGCGCAGCAGGACATGTGGCCAGGAGGCAATTAGATGCTCGTCCCGCAGTGTGAAATGCCGCGCAGGAAGCAGCTCGACGCGCCCATTGTGCGCTCACGTCCGACTGGCCCGTTGGGCCTCGGCTCAGGTACAGGTTCCTGCACCTTCGCCCTTTGTCTGGGACTCGCTTCCAAAATATTGTTGGTGATTAGTGACTTTGCGCCTGGTCGAATTCCAAATGGAATGAGGTATACGGAATAAGGAAACGCCTGTGGCGTTAATTGTTTGTCCCGTAGCTGTGGCCCGTTTGATTTGCGCCGCTAAGAAGTTAATCTGGGCCAACGGAAACGGAAGCGGAAGCTGCAAATGCAAAAATCCTTTAGCTGTTACCTTTTGAAAAATACATATGTCAAAAATTCCTAATTCCAATCTCTAGCAAAACAACATACCAAATGCAGATGGATGGACGGGAGGACAGATGGTCTGGTCTGCGAGGCAGTGGAAGAAGTCTTTGGCCCCACAAAACATATATACACCAGATCCTTGATTAACGGACTAAACGGATCGTTTATTTTCGGTTTAGTTTCGTTTGTCCATCTGTCTGTATCGCACTGATCTCCTAGACTGTTAGTTCGTACACATTAAGATTTTATCTTATTATAATAACTCTTCCAACTAATCCAAAATCGCTAAATATCCATTTAAGTTCTCACTTGTTACTACTTTTGTATACTAATTAGGTTTTTAGCTTTTAACTGTTATATTTTTATATATTCAAAACTTGTTGATTAATAAATAAAAATAATATATATATTAATAATAAATAAATAAATGTTTTCGCTTAATTAATTAGAACTGGTTGAATATATATTTAATAGGGATTTTCCAGCTGCAAAGTTCCCTAAAATTTGATGAAATTATCTAGGACCGCGCAAAGCCGGGCTATAACCGTCTAATTTTGTAAACAAATCATAAAACAAAATTCTAATTTATTTGGAAATCTCAAAATTAAAGAAGTGGGTATAAATAATCCTAGAGAATGGATCCTTAGATAAGAACATTTTTACCAGCACGAGATACAATTTGAAACGGGAAATCAATGAAACAATCGAGCTTGGATTTTACCGGTTTTATTATATATTGATCTGTAGTTTAATTGAAAGTCGACGGAAATTTTGTTTTGAAAACTAAACCACCACGCGGCCGAACAAAATTATGCATTATGTGTTCGATATAGATGGATTAGTACTATATACGATCTACACAATGCGTAATTTGTGCACTCAGTGCCAAAACTGTAGATTGGAACGACATCGACTGCATTGCTTGGAGCTCCCTTGATCATGCAGGGCATTCGATATGTGCTCCTCACTGTGTGGCCGCTCGTGGAGTGTGGCCCCCGCCGCTGTGCGCACCAGACTACGGCGTACGCATTCGCCGTTGCGCCGGAGCGTATAGTTGATGGGGAACTGCAGCATGCCGGGTCGATAGTGGGCCACTGGCTGTAGACCATGAATACAGTTGCCCGTGGGTCTGGCCGCCTGGCTGTTCATGCGTCGCCCTGCAAAGCCGGCACAGCAGCCGCAGTGCATCCGATTTGTGGCATCACCGGCGCCAAAGCGATCCTGTTGCTTGACGCAACAGCGGCAACCTTTTGCTGCGTTGCAAGCTGGCGACTTGGAGCGTACACTTGGTCTGTCATGGCCACCCGTTGATTGCTTCAAGCGGCCACTCTGACTGCCATTGCCCGCCGCCGACTCGGCGTGAACAGCCGCTCCTCCAGAGCCGCCTGACTGCTGGTTGATTGAAGGTCCTCTGCTGCGTCCGCTCGATCTGGCGCTGTTCCCTGACTGCCGCTGGCTGGAACGACTAGGTGCACTATTATTGCTCGTCATCGAGCCACTGCAGTTAGCTTGACAGCCTGCGGCGCAAGTGGCCTTGTGCTCCGCCGCGCGTGAGCTCGTACAGCAGGTCGTACATTTGCCTATGCGCTCATATCCTTGGCTACAGGAACCCGTACAGCCTCCGCTGTAGCCTCCGGGACCGCCGTTGCGGCCAGTTGATTTGGCGCAGCCATTGCGACAGTTTGTGTTACAGGTCTGTTTGCACTTGCATGTGGGCTGCTCTGAATCGGGCAGATAGAAGTTCGAGTTATTAGATTGACGTGGGGTGTGCTTGTTTTTGTTTTTATCCTTTGGTTGCCCTTTGGCTTTCTCCTTGCCATTAGTCTTCGATTTCTCCTTAGACTTTTCCTTTTTCTTATCCTTCTTCTTATCCTGCTGAGCTGACCCTCTTGTGTTTAAGGATTTAACAGATTCGCCGGTGCTAGATGCACTTCGGGAATGGAGTGTCTTGCGGTCCTTGCCATCTTGCTTTGACTTTCTCTCCTTGTTGGCTGCCGGATCCCTAACATTATTGCTCAGGAACATCTCCAGGGCCTGTGCGATGAGCGAAACAAGCTTTCCGCTATTTTCGGAATTGTTTCTGCAGAATTCGCAATTGCAGGTACACACTCCAGAAAAGCCACTCACATCGTCTCGATCCGGCGCGGCAGCGTAGCTGTTGTCATCCATATTGACCGAGCAGGTCTTTCGACGTACGCCTGAGCAACTAGGGTTATAAGCACATGAATTTTCACCTAATGCTGTAATGAATTATGCATGTGCTTAACAAATTTGCAAAATCATTGAGTGCAACTTACGCGGGCTGCGTTGCGCTGGACGAATATTGCTGTAACCTGGATCGGGAACCCAATCATTGTTTCTTGGATCTTCAGCTGATACTGGAATACTGGATTAATTGAGGGCTATGCATACTTGGAAAGGCTTAACTCACGATTATTCTCAGAATAATTATCGATATAAGGCTCATTGTCAGGAAACTCACTGTTTCTTTGGCTTGCATCTAATACAGGGATATTCGATTATTGGAATGGAGCTAAGGATTCGCGGTAAGGTTAACTCACAATTACTTTGGCCCAATGGAGTGTCATAAACGCGGTTTTGCGTATCGTCATAAAAAACCTGGCCCGTAGGCGGTGGTGGGGGATTTTGATTATAGACGGGTTGTGCATAGTCATAGGCTGGCAATGGACCCGGTGGGCCTCTGCTGAAAAAAGGGCAAGTCTTAGAAGATATTGGAAGATATAATCCCGACCCTACAATGTAGTTGTAGCTATTGAGCAAAACGATAGACTGAGCTGATATAGACTTCCTTTCAACTGGAAGTACTATGCCGTAAAGCTGCCCTTGGGTCTAGACGGACTGAGCTAATATTGACTTCATTTTTTACCGTAAACCTGCACTTAGGTCTGAAGGACTGAGCTGCTATAGACATCCTTTTAACATGGAAGTATTAGACCGTAAAGCTGCCCTTGGGTCTAGACGGACTGAGCTGCGAGACTTCCTTTTAACTATACCGTAAATCTGCTCTTGGATCTGGACGGACTAAGCACCTAGACTTCCTTTTAACATAGCACCAACATACCATATAGCTAATTTAGTTTTGTGGGTAGAGCTTAAAAATATATCGGTTATAAGGTCACTTAAGCTTCGGCATTCCGAAGATGTTTTGTCTTGTAGAACGATACAAACCGATCCGTGTAGCCGCTCGAATAAGTATTTTTGTATTCGTTGCCGTAATCGTTGCTGATGCTGGATTGTTGTATACAGGTTCGCGCTAAGGCAGTCGTCAGCTGATCAATCAGTGCACTATTTTCGCAATCCTGCAGCACAACAATGCTGAAGGGTGGCGGCTCGCTCGGATTACCAGCCTGGCCCTGACCCTGACCCTGACCCTGACCCTGAACTTGGTTTCCCGACTGCGCGCTCTGTCGCCAGTCCATCGCGCCCGCTGAGTAATTACTCTGGCAATTGCCAGATTGTCCATTGTAGTTTTCCAGAGCCGTATGGATCTTGGCATTGCATAGGTCACAAATACAAGTCTGTCCATCAGCGGACATGCTAGCGTCAGTTGTCCGCTGTCCGCAAACCGGACACAGTCTGACACCGCCGCCCAGATGACGCATGGGCTTTGGCTTCCTGGATCTGTTCCTTGTGGCTGGCAAGCTCGGCCTGGACTGGTCCCTGCGCATGTAGCTGCCTCTACGCATGGCTGCCGGACTATAATCGTTGTTCCTCATTGTCCTGCCCAGCACAAATTGTGTCCTGACGGTGGGCTTCAGATCGCGTATCTTGGCGTTGGAGTTGACCGTTTCGCCCGGCGGCTGAGTCGGAAGTGTTCTTACCTTAGCGGCCTTTGGTTCGATGTTGTCGCAACTGCTGTCATCCTGCGTGTGGCCTGATTGGGCATCAGACTTCTGGCTTCTGGACTTGTCGTCCGCTAGGCTAGCATCATTCGAGTTTTTGTAGTGGCTTAGAATTTGTTTGAATCCAAATCGTGTCATATTTGAAAATTTTCGGAACGCATCGAGTATTTGTTGTTTTTTTTTTTCACCTTCTGACAGCGCTGGCTATGCACTAGTTGCCTTTGCCTTGCCATTGACCAGCCAACTGGGCAACACTTTGCGCCAGGACCAGCCGCTCTTGCTGCTTATGTGTAATCCTTTGACCTTTTGCAATTCCACAATGGCACTGCCACCCACTAAGCCGTTCAATTGTTGCATACACTGCCATTTGTTGGGCACCACAAAAGCCGAACATTTCGCCGCTGATTTATTCATTATCCGGGGTCTCATTATATTCGTGGCGACTGTTAAAAGTGACCCCCGTCTCCTAGACCCGGCGGGTACGTCGCTTGGCCCTTCATCGGTTACTTGGGTTGAGCGCACGGCCAAAAAGCTGCCACGATAGAAATGATGTATATTTGTGCCCATACAGCCATCCCTGCTGTGCGAGTGGATCACAGGCTCTGGCAGCTGCTGCACTTGGCCATCCCTCAGGTACTGAGGCCGCTGGGTTGTAATTTGCTTCTCGCTGCTCTTCCTTCGCGCTCGCTGTAGTGTGTTTTCTTCACTGCGTGGTGCTTCACGTTCCTGTGCCCGATCCTGGATCCGTTCCTCAGCTTTATGCTGCGCCTCTTCCTGCTTCCGCTCCTGTGCCCGAACCTGCACCCGTTCTTGGACCTGCTCCCGCGCCCGTTCCTCCGTCCGTTCTGGCGCGCGACTTTGATTTTGATTTTTGATTGGAGCTATCTCGCGCCTTTCTACCGGTACTCCGGTGGATTCCAGCCTTATCATCGGCTGTGTCCCTCCCGCGGGAGGTGGTGCATTCCTAGCTGGTTGGCGCGATGCTCTTGTGCCTCCAGATGCTGGTATGTTCTCTGTGACTTGAATAGGTCTGGAAACAGGTTGGTCTGGAGCCTGCATCTGATACCTTTGTGGCAGATCGCGTCGTGGTGCTGCTAGAGGCTTAGGCCTTATTGCGGCCTGCGAGTGCTGTTCACGGGAATATCCCGTCTCCTGCGTTAATCGTGCTGGCGTTTGCGATTGGCTTTGACCTTGCGCTCTGTCGTTCCTAACTGTCGTCTGCAGTCGGCTGGGCTTGGGACTGGAGGCCGGCATGGCTCTAGTGCCACCCATCTGTTTCTCTCTAGGCCTTGAATTTGCGTTCCTTGCGCTTTGGGGGCTCTTGCCGGCCTGTGACAGCTTTCCGCCGCGACACCGTTGCTTGTGCTGCTTAATTTTAACGCCCGTGCAATCGGGTACCCTATGGACTTTAATGGGGAAACGAAGTGCACAGGGATTGGCCTTGGGCATGCGTCGGGTCTTCAGCAGATTACTTATCGTTACAAGTGGTAGCTTCTGCGATCAGTTTATCTGAGTGGGTGAGAACGATTGGAATATTTAAAATTACCTTATTTGAACCTGAGCTCGTGAATAGTTTGCTCGGACAGCAGCGTCGGTTCTTGATGTGCAGAGACAAGCATTTTTTGTTGATATGGGAAGTCTGAAAAGGTGGGAAACAGCAGCAATTATATTTAATATATAAGGTAGATATAGCTTAAACTTACGCCACAGCCGGATAGACGTCGCTTGGGTAAGCTTCCCCGATGCTTGGCCAATTGTAGGTTACCCTGATGTGCAGTACCACGATGCTGGGATTTGATGGAACATATTGGGTAACTTAAGAAATGATAGCAGATAATACCCGGCGTTGGCCGGGAAAGCAATTTTCACTTGCGAAAAAAATTGTTGGATGAATTTAACTAGATGCTTACAGAGGATCTGGCAGTCACTTGGCGCCGACACTTCTGCATGGAGGACGAGGTCATAGGCGATAGCTAAAACGGAAGGAAACATTAACTTGGATTTGTAAATAGATAGAGCCATAAGGGGTTGTCTTACTCCCGAGTAGGATCCTTCATTAGAGAAATTTATTGGCGTTTTCCCAGGCAAGTTACTTGCATTGAACCACATCGCAGGCACAAAATTCATGCGTGGGTTTTGACAATTGAGCGCAGGCAAGCCATTGCCCGTACAACGGTGGGGCATCTCCTTGGAATCATCCAAATAGAAAGACGTGTGCCTGCGGTCAACTTCTTTCCGTGGAGCAGGCTTATCACATGGGCAAGGGCTTTGCACCGGCGCCTCATCGAAGGTTTGATAGGAAGAATAAGGTGTGGCCTTGCGTTCCTTCACACGTTTGGTATGACCTAGTGACATGCTACTCGGTTGCACATTGCAACTGCAGCTAGAAACGGTTAGGGGATTCTTGACATATCTGCCACTTCTATTTTGCAACTCCGCATAGTCTGCGCTCGAATTGCCCATCGACTGTCCATAATATTTCTGCGACTGTCTGCCCTGATTGGCTGGACATGTTTGCTGTTGAAAGCCATGAGTGTCATAATTAGATTGCTGCCTGGGCTTTTTGCTCTTTTCTGTCTTCTGAACGAAACCTTGGGTGGGACATTCGCTTAGGCATCCTTGAGATCTAACCACCAAGGGATTTCGATGTGCCATGGGAGTAAACAGCTTGTGTTCCACGTAATCCGATGGTTTTTCTGGCAAACAACAGCTGTACATTGAGTCAGTTACTGGACACGTCTTACAGCCGCAACTGCATTCGGATTTACTGCGAGGTACCTCGGGTTGCGGTCTGGGCTCGTAGCAACCTTCGCAGCGAGGTCGAGGCTGCTTTGAGGCCTTGGGTGGAGCCTCATTTTTAGGCACGTGACGATGCTCACTGCGATGCTCACTACGAGGCTGCCAACATCCTGCGGATTTGTCCTCTTGGTAAGGGTCGTAGCAAGGTTCGCAGAAAGGATCGCTACGGGATTGTTTACGATGCTCGATATTTGATTTCCTGCGCGGTTCAGAAGGAGCTTCGTAGGATTCGTATCGCCTTCTCGAGCATGACTCATCACGAGCTTTTTGTTGAGGCTGAATAGGTTTGGGCGAGTTCTGCCTCGATCGTTGCTTTTCTTGTTGCGAAAAGCAAGAACCGCAGCAAGATGATGGTGGAAATTGATGCTGTGCTGGTGGTTGCTTCGAACATTTTTGTTCTGGTGATCCAAAGCAATCAGGCTCGCATCGCAATGGAGCACGTAATGCCGATCTAGGTTTTTGCTGTGCTTCGCTATAAGAACCACAGCGAGGTCTGGACAATGAATCAGGCGGCATGTGAGTATTTTCCAGGCTTTCAGAATATTGGCATGAAGCATCGCGAGAATTTGAGGGACGTGCCGAGCGTGGTTGTGGTGTTCTATCGTAATCAGGATCCCTTTGACTTGAACGACATGGATTATGGTGTCTGCATGAAGATTCGTTGCACACTGAAGCAACGGATTGACCGCGCCGTAGCTTAGATCGTGACCTATTAGAAGACGGTGAACGGGAGTCACTACGGTGCCTGCAAGTTGCTCCGTTGCCAGCCCGGCGAGGTTCGCTTCGCTCACAAGATCTGCAACGCTGTGTACGACAGCAACCTGGATGATTATTTGCTGGCACCATTTTATTGCCACATGTCGGGAAACCGACAGGGTTACAGCTAAAATTGGAGGGGCCCACACCACCATACTGACGAGTTGGAGGCCATAAATGTATCTGGCTTCTAAGCTGCATCCTTCTATCCCTGTCGAATGCATGCGACCTGGACTGAGTCAATCTCTGGTGCTGGCCCCGGTACTGCCCCATAAACCGTTCTCGGTACTGCTTCGGATACTGTTCTTGAAACTGACTCTGGTACTGCTGCGGGTAAGACGCGTGGTACTGCTTCTGGTACGCCAACCGGGATGCCATCCGACACGACTCCTGGTACTGTTGCTTGAATTTCTGTCGGTAGCCCTCCTGACTCGGGTACCCATGCGCGTTCTGCTCCTCGTACAACGCCTGGTGCGGCCTTAAATATTCGGACGGGTACTGCTGCTGGTACGGCTCGCTGTACGAGTCACTGTATTGACTAGAGTACTGATCCCTTTGCTGCTGCCACTGGCAATCTATTTGCCCTCCATATCTGGACGTCCCTGCACTCCTTCGAAAGACACCAAACTGGCATTGCCTCTGAGCTGTCGGGGCCATTGCAACGGCAACTAGGAGTTCCGTATTTATCCTCCGTTGAGATCTGGCTCACATTATCTGTGGTATGTTGAGTGTAAACACGAAAAATTTGTGAATTTAACAAAAACAGTGACAAGACACACAAAATACAAAGTAGATTTGATCAAATCAAATACAAGGTGGCTAGGTTGGAAGGATGAATAGTTCGTTTGGATCTAGTGGTACGTCAGACAATCAAAAGGCGGGTCTCATTGTTTTCGATACTTATTAAAATATTGAAAGAAAAGAAATCGTAGGCTTGGCTCAACTCAAACTTTATTTGCTACAGTTTTTTTTTTCAGCAACTAACAATAAATATCCATACGCCTTGTGTATATCTATAATGCATGGATCGCAAATATGTGCAGAGCACAGTTAAAGCATAAAGCTATCTCTTTAACTAAGCTTTGCAATTATGAACGATCAATGCATTTAGAACTTGGGCTGCGGGTCACCAAAACCCTGTGTAGTTGCTTAAAACACGCGGCTGAGGCAGGAACGGATTAGACATGCGATTGTGGAATTTTTTGAGATTGAATGATTGATTTGGATAGCTGCTGTCCAATGTGTCGTTGGCCTGTCGCCTGTAGATTAACCGTCGGGGCAGCTTCTTCCTCTTTTTCTTGCCCTGAGCCAGGCACTTCATGTGCCGTGGATTGGGCCAGTGCAGCGGACGTCGCGCGGGCAGCGATAAACAGGAACAGACCTCAGTGTTCCGATGTCTTAATGAGATGCGTCTTTTTTTACGCAAAGGGAGACGTTGATCCTGCTGCTTCCGTTGATGCAGTGTGGCATAGGGAGCGGGTATATCCAGCGCCTTAATGGCGGACTTTCTTCTAAGCCTAGTCTGCCTTCGCTTCCTGCTCGCGAGGGGCGTTTTGGATTTGTGGTCCACCCTAACATCGTCCTCCTCGTCAGAGGTAACCATCAGATAGATGGAATATTCCTTTTGCGATGGTTTCAAACTGCCGCCAGCCCTCAAGCGTTCCGGTTCTTCGTTTCGGTTTTTGTCGTCGCACATGTGCGCCACCAGCTGCATCAGCGAGTTCCACAAAGGATTATCCGACTCGACGCAGTGCATATTGTTGTCCTTGAACAGTTCGTTCAGATTTATTTGCCGTTTATGGGCGCCACTTTTTGATGTCTTGGCTTTCATTGCCGCTTCCGGTTCCAACTCCTGTTGCAGTTGGTCGGTCTCCTGCAAAATCTGTTGCAACAGCTCCAGTTGCGCGGCAGTAAATTTGCACTCCTGCTTGGCGCCGGCGTTGTCCAGATTGGGAGTTACATTGCCGCTCGCCTCCATTTGCTGAGGCAACTCCACATTGTCGCTTAGCTCTGACTGCTCCATTTCTGCCAGACTGGCGACACTTGTGGAGTTTCCATGCTGCACTTCATCACAGCCCGCTTCCATTTGCTGTGGTAGCTTGGAATTCAACTCTGGCTGCTGCAGTGCTGCCAGACTTGCAGACATTTTCGAGTTGCCCTGCTGCTGTTGGACTCGCTGTGGCAACCCTTTCTCCAGACTGGCAAACCTTGCGCCGTTTCCTTGCTGCATTACATTTCCGGCGGCTGGTGGTGGAAATTTCAAAGCTGGCCGCTGCAGCGTTACCAGACCTTTCGGTGTTCTGGAGCTGCCGCTTCGTTTGCGTGGCAACTTTGCTCTCAAAAGTTTTTGAATCTGCAGCAAATTGGCGTCTATGTCGGCGGCCAGAATATTCAGCTGCATCTCCGCTGGGGTTTCACCTTGGAGACTTTGACTTTTTGCCTTGAGCTCTTCTTGGCGACCTGCTTGTGCCTCGGAATGGTTAGTTAACGATGTGCTGCTGGCGCTATTATCAGCTGTGAAGCTCACCAGCGCTTTGCTAGATCCACGATTGGCCAGCCTGTGGGGCTCGGCATGAATGGGCAGCACCTGGGTGCGCCCGACGGCACATCCGGTCAACTGTTTGTCCTTGGGTGTGACCATTTGCTTGGCCAGCTTCACATAGTCAAAGTCAGCCGCATGAACATGTCGCTCCACTGAATACGGTCGCTTCACAATGCTTATCGTGGGCACAGGCTCGGCTTCCGGCACAGCATTGGAATGTGTGGCCGCATATAGAGAGGATTCCGAAGCGGAGCCGCCTCTGTCCAGGAACTTGATCAGACTGCTCGCACATTTGCCAAAGTTGAACGGCATGAATCCGCTGCTCGGCTGCTGATGCTGCTGCTGCTTATGCTGCTGCTGCTTATGCTGCTGATACTGCAGCTGCTGATACTGCTGCTGCTGATACTGCTGCTGCCGTTGCAGTTGCAGTTGCTGCTGTCGCTTCAGCTGCTGCAACTGCTGCTTGAGCTGTATGGAAATATCGCTCGTGGGCTGCCTGTGGCGTTGCTTGATCGGATCCTGCCACATCTGCTCGTCGGAGCGACACCACATGGGCAGAATATTGGCCCTCTGCATCAACGGCGGCTGTGGATAAACGGGCCGCACTTGCGTATGCGGTGCCTGCATTAGGCTGCGTCGCAGGCGACTCAGCTTGCGGCTGCTCAGCTCCGGCTGTGGCAGGCTAGGCATGCGCGGCAGTGCGCCCACCATTTTGTTGCACATGGCGGACATCAGCGAGGGCGCCCTGGGCGCCTGCGGCGGCCAGTGCACGGCCGGGCTGCCCAGCCAGCCAATGTTAAGATGCTGACTCGACGGCGGCGGCGCCATCATATGCTGATAGGCGCTGTAGGACAGCTGTTTGGCCAGGCCACCCACCATTCCACGACGTCGCACCATGCTTTTCTAAATGTTAACGGAAAACAAAAAAATTCTCGCTATGGTTCGCAATTTTACTTGAAATTTGTGTTGTTTTTTGTATTTGTTTTTTGTCTCTTAAATCGGTAAACATTTAAAATTTTGAATACACGCTTGGTGCCATAATTATTGGGGAAAGCCCTTTTTTGAGTCCAAAACGTTGACGAACAAAGCAAAGGGCCGCAGTATCCTGTGATTTTCTTTTCTTTTTCGTACAGGTTAAAAGCGCACCCACGTATTGACCCCACCGCTGGAGAGCTTTCAGAGCTGACGTCACGCATGCTTTTCGTACGGCTCTCGCATGCGTGCTTTTGCGCCAGCTGCCGGTCGGTCACAATGGAATATTTCATTCATTGCGGCTTCACTTCCAGCGCAATTCCCAACTTCAATTGGAAGTGTTCACATCTCTCAGCAGCTCACTCTCTAACGCTCTTTCACAAAGCTGCCGTGAGATGAAGTGGCAGGCACAGTTATTTGTTGGTGTTATTTTTTTTTTTACTAAGTAGGCGCGCAATTTAAGTTCGCTGCTCAGTCGAGTCGGACTCTAACAGGAAATGTGGATTTCATTTCGATTTTGTTTTCGAACGGTAAAGGACAAATTTACGTAATAGATTTAAAGGAATTTGAAATAAAAATATCAGAAAATTGAAGAGGTTTTTAAATCTTTTTACAAAATTGTTTATCCACAAATTAATTAGAAAGGAAAAACATAAATTTAAAAAAAAATTGACATAAATTAACTAGAATAATGAGTACCGGGTGTGTCGCCAAGCTGCTAAGCGGTATGCAATTGGGCAACAGTTATTGGCTTAAGCGAGTGAATCCATACTGGTATGAGTCGAGGGAGGTGCCCAGAACACTGCTCAGCGACAAATGCACCGTAGAAAGGGGTGCGAAGCCCAGAAGAAGATCCCTCGGAAGAAGTTACAACAAACATTTGTTACCATCAAGACAAGCAAATCGCGCATAATTAGCATTAGTTAGTGGATAATGTGAACTTTTAGGAAACATACCATTTTGTGTGAGCTTGCCCGTTATACAAAAAGTTTTAAATAACTCTTATTTTTTTAGGTATTTGTACTAGAGTGGGAACTGAAACCTGGCTGTTTTTGATCGCTTTTGTGCATGTTAATAACTAACTTTTACTCTAAAATTAAAAAATAATGAAATTTAATCATTTTGATTATTTGGAGCGCACACTGTTAATCTAAAATTAAAAATAACGAAATTAAATCATTTTAATCAATCGCCATATTAAATGTTTCATTTTACGCGCCCAATTCAAAAGTGGGCTGCCAACTGAGGAACAACATTTACGGATTAGATCTTAACAGGGCCCTGACGCACTTAACAGAATAGTCTACACATATCGTTATCGATAAATCATGAAATCAACACAGCCTTTAGTGCTGTAGCAAGTGTGCGAGCAGGAGAGTGAACTCTGGCGGTAAGTGTGTGTGCGAAGAGAGCGAATTGCCATCAGTTGGTGCCGAGTTTTTGCTTCGTGAGCAGGTGGGCCGCGCTTCGCGCTAAAATCGTATAAGAATCGCCTCTTAAACAATATGAAAAAATTCCAATAGCCGAAAGCAAAGGCACTTGATAATATAAATCGCGGCGCATGCTACGCCCACGCGTTCAAGTTCATTGCATGCGACGGCAGCAAATACAACCAACAAAAGCCAAAAGGCAACAACAACAGCCACAAGGCACAAGTGATAACAGCGCAAGAATTAATATATATGTAATACAAATTCAACGTGAAAAGAAATCTGGCGACATATGAAGAAAAAATAATATAAAACATAGAAAGCAATCGTAATGTGTAAGCAAAAGAGCAAAAGCAAATGAAATGAGACAAAGATTAAACAAAGTGTTTCTTATTTGAGCAGCGTTTGTTATTGTTGCTGCTATTGCTGCGGCTGGAACTGTAAAAACAACACAATGTACTAGAGCAGGAGATGGGAGCGCCGCTTCAATTACATACACAAACACATGCATCTGTGTAATGCATGTGGAATGTAATTATGATTTTTGTAAATACGTGCTCTTGTGTGTGTGGCGACATGCGGAAGCAAAAAACATTCATGAATGGCAATTATGCTGCCGTTGCGGCAACTTATTGTTCGGCCCACAGCCAAAATGACGGCTAAAACTACGTACGGTTTTCCACTTGGAAGTCGTGACGTTTTTCGATTGCATAGCTACATATGTATCTGTGCTGTTAGTGCGTGCGTTTGTGTGAGAGTGCGCGCTGCTCTCACGCGCGACTCTGTGTACGTGTGTGTGTGTGTGTTTGTTTGACTGCGAACGTCATAGCAACTCCAGTAAAACGCAAATAAGCCAAAGAAGAAAAGCTAATTGCTGTTGAGTGGTCTAATTGGACACCTTGCGTTTGTAAATTTATTTCATTCGCCCGTTATCAATTGTGTGTGTTTATGTGCTTTCTCTATCTCTCTTTCGCTCTCGCTCGTGAATGTGTGCCCACATATATACGTACATACATACGTTTTATTCGAGTGGTTTATATGCTCGACCTCGACAAGTTTCATTTTCGCCCCTCTACACACACATTCGTGTGCGTGTGTATGTGTTTGTAATTGTCATCATGCTGCTTCATATTGTAATTTCTGCTGTTGTTTTTTGCGAATTTCCTTGACTCCTTGAACCAAGCCAGCCACACACTCACACACACACAAACCCACTTGTACACGGATATATATGTATATGTACAACCGCACTCACACACGCACACCGCAACCTGTCTGCCCCGTAACTGTTGCTGCGCCCCCGCCGACTACACACACACGCTGTCGCCCGCTCTGCTGCTTGCTCTTGTGTTTTATTTGCCTTCTGCTCTGAGCGCTGGCGTTGGCGCTTGGCGCTTCTGGGCTGTTGTTGTTGTTGTTTTCGTTGTGTGGCTGCTGTTTGTAAGTCGAAGTCGCGTTCTCTAGCTTTTGTTTTTCTGCTCTTTTATATTTGTTGGCTCATTTACTTTACTTGTATGTGTTGTTTTTTTTTTCGTGCGCGCGCGACTTTTGTTGTTTTTTGGTTTTCTTTTGTTATTCTTGTTTTATTTTTTAATCATTCTCGTATTTTGCCTTTTCTGATTATGCTGTCGCTTTTGTTGGTTCAACAACAACAACAACAACAACAAAAACAACAGCAGCAGCCACAGAGGGCACGAGTGCGAGCAGAACAACAACAACAAGCCGACAACTACTGCGGTGCCTTAGTTATCAGCAAAACCCAACAGATATTGTGTACATATACATATGTATGTGTGTACACACATATAAATATGTGTGCATATAAGTACATATGGTTACAGTGCGGTTCATAAGTTGAGTACCATTTGCATTCAAGTAACTGCTGTATTAACTGATCTATCCCAATTTGAGTGATTTACTGTAACCCTAACTCAAGTTTTAGACTAGAAAACTACACTACTGTTGCTGTGGCAAAGAACCACCCAATCGTCCGTCCACCCGTCCACCCACTTGCTTGTGCGCTGCTCCAATTGTGAATGACAGCACGCATCGACGCAGTGCTTGATGATTTCGTCTTAAATTCGCCGATACCACTGTCGCTGCCTTGTGACGTCTTTTACAGCTGGCATCGCTTTCGCAACTCTCCCTCTTGCTTTGTCACTCTCTCTGACTGCTGCTGGTGTTGCTGCTGCTGCTGCTGCTCTGCGTGCGTGCGTTGGAATGTGGCCCAGCTTCAAATGCTGCTTCCAATTTGGAAGTTCATTCAGCTTTGATGCGGCGCTTCCAGGCACAGGTTGTCGCCGCGTTCGCTATCCATTTCCTAAGTTGGAGCAGTCGCAGTCTGTTGATTTTTGTTCATTGACTTTGACCTGTGTGCGCTGTTTATCCAGCGTCCTTCATCTTGTCCTGCGGCTGCTGCTTCATCTCACAAACACGACCGCTTACAACTGTTTTGTGTCTTTTTTGATTAATAAGTAAACAAAAAGAAAAACATTTTCAATTGGTACATATATAATAATCTAATTTGTTGTTTTTTTTTTGCCTCGTGTTCGCTAAGAAATTTTCAAGAAACGTGAAAATGTGCAAATTAAATGCTTGAGGAAACCCACTTAAATATCGCTTTTGCATTGTTGCCCACAGCTGCCGTTGCTCTTTCGCGCCGACAAATTGTTTACAATTTATACGTCATGTGCGTGTGTGCGTTTGCCTGTGTGTGTGCGTTTGTCTGTATGTGTGTGTGTGTGTGTCAATGTGCTGTTATACTCTATAACGCAAATACAAGAGGGCATTTTAAGTGTGTGGTAATTTGAGTAAAAAAAAATGTAGAAGGTTTTTGCATGCAGTATGAAGTGTGCATAGAAATTAGCTCTTGTGGTGCATAAAATGACCCTAGAATCGGTTATTCGAGAAGGTTGTTCAGTTTTAAGTGTTTGAAAGCTTTTAGATCTGAATTGTATATAATTTCGTTCTTGTAAAGGAACCTGCAGATCGTTTCTACCCAATTAATACTTCGTCTTTTATAGTTCACTAAAGCTTTATGGAGAAATCATTGCAATTCGTGTAACAATTAGAGTCTATTATATTTTATAGCAAGATTTTGCAGTTTTTATTATTAACCAGTGAAGCTCTTGTAATTAATTAATTAATTTTTTTGAAAAACTAACATTTTTCTAACTTTTGTTCCTTTTCCGGTGTCGAAAGCTTGAAAAGTTTCTTCAAACTCAATCTAAGCTTTGTACTTTAATAACTTCAAGCTCCGTACATTTATATTTCGACTAAAGTAAATTGTTTTTTTTTGTGCATGTGAACAGTTTTCTTACGACCAAATATTAAAAAGCTTCGAAGAACAATCTTTAAAGTTATTTTAGTGGTCAATGTCTGCAGCTTTGCTAATATAAAATTGAAAATTGCATAAAAAGTTGTTCATCTTGGAACTTTCTCCACGCCAGTAAGCCTTGCTAACTTCAATAAAAGCTTTTCTTGTTTATCATGCGAATTGCAGGGCATAAAAAAGTGTATTAGCTTTCAATAGCCAACATTTTTCTACTTCGCTTCGATTGGCATTAGAATTGAGTGTCTGTTTTTGCGTGTGTGTGAGTGTCTACTTGTTATGTTTGCGTTGCTCTTCCTCTTTCTACAACTATTTCACGCTTTTGCTGCCTTAAATTGATTTCAATAAGAATTTGCTGACTTGAACGCAGCTCCAACAAACATCGCCACTTGACTTGGGCC